ACTGAGCCACTCCAGCTAGGGTGTATATATTATTTTCTAACCTATTTTCTTTTTTATCCAATAAGACACAGAAACATCTTTCCATATCAATAAAATATTTTTCCAGTTTCATTTTTAATATATATTTTTATTGATTTCAGAGAAGAAAGGAGAGGGAGATGGAGATAGAAACATCAATGATAAAAATCATTGATCAGCTGCCTCCTGCACATCCCCTACTGTGGATTGGGCCAGACATGTGCCCTTGACCAGAATCAAACCCAGGACCTTTCAGTCCGCAGGCTGACACTCTATCTACTAAACCAAACCAACTAGGGCTCCAGTTTCATTTTTAATGACTTTACTTGTCACCTTAGAAATGAAGCCTTTCCTAACCACTCTATTTAAATTTGAAATCTGTACCTTCCATTATTTTTTTATTTTGAATTATTTTTCTTCATAGCGTTTTAAAAACATATATTTTTATTTATTTACAAGAGGAAGGAAAAGGGAGAGAGAGAAGCTTCAATGATGAGAGAATCATTGATCACTGGGGATGGAGCCCACAACCCCAGGGTGTGCCCTTGACCAGAATCGAACCTGGGACTCTTCAGTCTGTAGGCTGATGCTCTAGCCATTTAGCCAAACTGGCTAGGCTCTTCATAGCATTTGTCACCTAACATTAAATGTCACATTCGTGAATATTGTGAAATTTATTTATCTTATTTGTTTCTCTTACTAGAATGTAAGTAACATGATGGCAGAAATCTGTGCTTGTTTGTTCACTTCTCTACGTCAGTGCCTAGTACTATGCTTAACACACAAAAAATGTTTGAATATTTTGCTACATGAATGACTGAATGAGACTATATAACATTTCATTATATTGTTTTCTGGTTGATTGTTAAAATACTGTAATTTATATTTCATCTATATCCACATTTAAGGCAGCTTTTAAAGTTTTCAAAGGATCTGGTCTTAAGTATAATAAAAACACAGAATATCTACAATCCAACAATTTGCTAAAATTGTAACTAAATGTTGCTTAACTTTAACCAAAAGTGCCATTTGGAGAAATAACATTTATAGAAAACTGAAAGGTAAACAATCCACCTGTCCATTTAGTCTAAAATGAGTCCCTTTGACCAGAATCGAATCCAGGACCCTTCAGTCCACAGGCCGATGCTCTATCCACTGAGCCAAATCAGCCTGGGCCATGTTTTGTCTTTTGAGTATTCTAGTAAGATGTTGCTTTTTGGCAAGTATAAGTTAATCAATTATTAAACCAAAAACACTGCAGTGGAGATAAATGCTCTAGCTATCATAACCTGAAGGTATTAACTATTAAGAGCATCCAATTCCCCTTTCCCCTAGTACCATGTTCACCAAGCCACTCTCAAATTTTAAGATGTCCTACCTGTATATATATTTTTTTTTACAGAGAATGGAAATGCAACCCTGCCTCTAAGCAATATACTTCCTTCTACATTTTTAACACATAAACCCAAATATTTTATTGCATTGGATTCTAGAAAGACTAGAAAATTCTGCTTGTAATTTAAAATTAGGATCACTATTTCTGTCAGACATGATTTTGATGTGGTCCTCGACTAGAAGTACAGAGAATGGGCTAATTCCTGTAGTTTCCAACCAGCTTAGCAGTTTGCATGAAAATGTCTGAAACCAAATATCTCAAGGGACCAGGAAAGGAAGCAGGAACTTCATTTTCGCCAGACTTATTTTAAGTCTAAATAAAGTAGGCCACAGGGTATATTGGGAAGAAATGCTCATCATCACACGCTTCTGATTAGAGTTTGAACACAACTGGGGACCTGACTGCCATCATACAAAGATCTTTGGTAGGCTTTCTTTGTGCCGTTTCAAAGTACCACATACACACCACCTCTGAAGGCTTGGGCTGGCACAGATGGAGTTCTTAGCTTTAGGCACTTGACAAAAGTGGCAAGATAGGGGAACAACTCTGATTTCCTATCTCAACGCTTTCCAAAATCTCTAATATTCCAATTTTTGCCTTTAACAAAGGGCATGACGAGATGATTGGATCAAGAAATGTCCTGGGGTGGTGGGGGAAGAAGTCCATTGGGGGAAAGGAAACATATATAAAACTTTAGACAATTAAAAAAAATTATAAAAAGAAAGAAACATCCGGACCCCAGGCTACACAGTGTAGAAGTCACAAACCCTGATCAGTCCTTCTCATTAAACTTCTGGGCTTTATTTATTATTTATTTCTTTAATACGACCATTACATATTACACAAAAATAAAAGTCAAACGAACTTGGTATTTATAAATTATTAAATAAAAATACAGGAATATATATTTATATTTATAGAGCTTTCTCTTTTCTTCTAAACTAACCAAATCTTTCTCCCGCCATTTTGTGATTTAAAAAAGTAAAATAGTGTATGCCCTAGAACAAGTGGGGAGTGGGCTTAATAATCGCAGGACCCAGTTGCTCTACTTCTGCTCTTTCCTTGGCCTAAGCAAATCCCTATTTGCCCCTTTGAGCTCTGGAGAAAAGGAAACACCCTCTCCACCCATTTAATCTCTGAAAAATAGCAATTAGATTTATGTCCCTTATTTAAAAAAAAAAAAAAAAAAAAAAAAAAGGAAGGGGTTTAAAAACTAGGAACCATACTCAGGCTTCCTGGCCAAGAACTAATCCCAAGGAACTATATGGCTCTAGAAGAGTCTCTACTTTTCCCTGACAGAAGATTCTCTGGAGTTTCCATTGCCCCTCAAGAAGGGCCAGATGGTTCAAAACAGCTCACTGTGGTCCCACCAAAGCTATGCTTCTAGGAATCCATACCAACCCCCTTTCACTTTCAGAATACAGCCCCTCCTTCCACCCAGGTGTGAAGGCCTCAGAGTGGGGCATCTCAGTAACCATGGTCCCCATTGCCCCTGTTTGCTAAAGGCCCCCAGAAGAGCTAACATGGAAAGGCACCCTGGAGTAGAGGGTAGGGTGATGAGTCTGCCCCAAATCTGGGGGAGCACAAGCTCCAATTTGGAGCTGATGGTCTAGTCAGTGGTTTTCTAACTTTTTCAGCAGCAAACCCCTTAATGCAAATAAAATCTTACCCTGAACCCCGACATGTAAGACAACTACAAGGAGAGCTGTTCTGTTTGAGGGCAAGTAGTCCAGCCTGTTCAGAGTGCCACCCTCTGCCCTCCTCTTTCACCTTCACTTTCCCCAAGGACTCCTGAGGCAACCCCTAGGAAATGTTGGGGCTCTGCCAAGCAGTTTGAAAACTACTGGCCTAGTTAGTCCTGAGCAGGTCAGAGACACCCCCACCCCCACCCCAATGGCCTGCCACAGAGCAGCGCTGAGTTCCTAGCATCAGCATACTCAGGACAGGCCAGTGGCACATGCAGCCTACCACCTCCCCCATAAACACCATTGAAAAGTGCAGCCCTCGCTCAAGCGTAAAAGTTTGGGCTAACCACCTGAGGCCAATTTTGGTCCCACATTTTAGTGAGTACAACTATGTTGCCACCTTCTGGGACCAAGTGAAAAATCTCCAAGAAGAGTTAACCATGGTCTAGCTAAGCTGATCAGTGCTCAGGGTCAAGGGCAGGGTTCTAGAGCACTGAGTGTGGAGAAGTCAGCATCGGAGAGCAGCAATTTTAGCACCTTAGAAAGTGCAGCAGTGAGGTCTGGCTCAGGGCATGCATTTGGAGTGAAATCATCTTTCTCAAAAGAAAAAGCTATCATCTGAATCTGTTCTAGAGGGCTGTGAGCACTAAAGTTAACATTCGCAGACTCTGAGGTACAGACAAGTAACACCCATGCAAGTAGCGTGGCTTCAAAGAAAATACATATGCTTCCAGATCACGGGAAGTACTCTAGAACCCAAACACCTGGCCCTTGACAAAGCAGCATCAGAGCCCACCACACGGAACAGGCCAGGCACGAGTACACATCACCCTCACACCCACGGGTTTCAGAGCTGGAATGTTCCTCTCAAGGCATCAACAGTCTCACTGAGACATCGTGCAGGACCCAGACTGTATTCCAGATCAGCATGTACGTCTCCACTCAGAAGGAAAATTAATTAGAGCCCCAATTTAGAGTTTACGTTTGGGAACATAAGGTCCCAGAGATCGGGAACACTTTAGGCACCAGTGTACCCCAGTGGGAGAGGAAGGCAGCGGGCAGGTCCAGCTACCAATGCCTCTTCCCACTGCAGGCTCCGCAGCCCTGCCTTTCTGTCAGAGCCCAGGAGGCAGCAGCAAGTGCATGACGCACAAGGAAGGGGGACCGTGGAGGAACAAGGCCAGCTGTAGAACTGCACTTCTCTCCAGAGCCCTGCTCACGACTTTCTGCAGAGAAGTGCCCGAAGCCCTCAACTGCATACAGTGTTTCTCCCTCAGCCTTGAGGCAACGGGACACGGGAAGGAGGGAGGGGGGACTGAGAGTGAGGCAGAGAACTGCCCCTGCTCTTGCCACTGCAAGAGGGAATGTTTTCTCCTTAGTCCCACTACTGCCAGATCAGACAAGCAGCCCAGCATGCACATGAGCACGCGTGCACATGCACACGCATGTCCAAGCAGCCCCCTGTCGCAGCCACCTCTCCCTATCACCTGAGAATCTGAGCTTCCATTCAAAGGGACGTGCCCTCTGTGTTTCCCCCAAATCCCACTCATCCAATGGAGATGCCAGCCCCTTATGCAAGTTCGCCTTCCTCAGGGCTGCAAACTGAGCTCCAGCTGGTTTCCTGTGCCCACACCTGTAGGCATGATCCCTCCCTCAGCCCCTCCCCCTGGAATGACTCCGTCTCCTGGCCCCCTGACTTTCCAGATACATTCTCCAAGGTCTCCAGTTCACTATTCCAACTGCCTGCCTGGCACACTCAGTTCCCTCACACACTATCCTGCCCGTTCCCATCCTAGTTCCATGCCCATCCATTCACCCCACTTCTTTTAAGGGCATTCTCTGTTCAGTTCCTGCTTTCCTGTCCCCCGCCACACCTAGCCCACTTGGCCCTGGACTTCCTCACTTGCTGGCAAAAAATGCTCCTACAGTTACCAAGGCCCCCAGCGCCACGGCCCCCGTCAGCACTGTTCTCACTGAGGCCCAGTTCCCCTCCCGCAGGCGGCGCGCCTCCTCCAGGGCCCCGTCCCCGTACAGAGCTGTGAACTCCGCCTGTGGGAGAGAAAGGAAGCAGGAGAGAAAGGAGAAAGGGATATCAGGAGAGGAAAGAGGCAAGAGGAGAGGGAGAGTTCCAGTTCATTCACTGCAAGCACTACCCCACGCCCAGCCCCGCTCTGGCCAAAGCTAACTGGCTGCATCCCCTCTCATCCCCCCTGAGCCCCTGGCAAATCTGCCTTCCCTGCCTCAGGTGAATCCAACTGTTCCTTGGACAAAAATTCTGCTAAAAAAATAAAATAAGAAATTCTACTCAGAACTGGCATCCTTTGACTAGTCTTGCCTGACCACCGCCCTCCCTGAGTCCTGCCCCCATGCCAGTGGACTCAAGTGTAAAATGACGTCTGAATGCCATTTGTCTGCTGGCACTTCCATGGGGACTGTGGGTTCTGTCCTCTACTATAGACCATGTGCCCATCCAGTGATGGCTGCATGGCAGCCCCGGAGGGCAGCATCTAGCGCCATGCCCATAGCGAGGGCATCTGATTCCACCCAAATAAGGAGTCTCAGCCCCCATGCCTCATTTATTCCCAGCACAGCCTCCCAGCCTCCAGCCAGAGCACCCCCTCTTCCTTTCCCCCCCCCACGCCCCTCCTGGCGACCAGCTTTGCAGAGGGATGTGCAGAGCAGCAACTGAGAAGCTTCTTACCCAGCCCCCACTACTGTGGATCCAGTCGGCCAGCCGCGTCTCCAGGTAGGCCACCATCCACTCCTGTACTTGTCCCACAAGTGGCTCCATCTCCTTGTTGACACTCTCAGCACACAGAGCAGCTCCGAAGACAAAGAAGGCCACAAGGCGACCCCAGTTGGGGCCCCCTTGGAAGAGTTCGTCAGAGACCTGGGTGAAGCGTTGCTGGGCTGAGCCCGGGGTCACATGCAGCTGAGCCGCCAGGTCAGAGAAGGTGCGACGGAAACGAGTCTCGAACTCGTCTCCAGCTGCCCGCATGGCTTGGTGCAGCGGGTCAGCTGCCGGGCCCTCTCCGGGACCCGCTCCACAGACATAACCCTTCTGCCTCAGCTTGTAGCCTACGAAGTCTGCCACCAGAGCCCGTGTGTCTGGGGCCGAGGCTGGGGTCGCCATCCGGGCAGCTGTAAAGGTCAAGGGTGAAAGGCTGGCATGAATATATAGAGTCAGAGACACAGAATGGGGCATTTCAGGTTTGGCCGACTCAATGAGACAGGAAGGAAGGTGGGAGGGAATGTTCAGAGACCACTAGGCAGGGAGAGGCGACAACAAGGAGATTAAATCCTAATGACGGGCCAGGGAGTGAGGGGCTGACCATTAAATTCGTAATATCCCGAATTAAATGTAAACAAGGTAATTTAAAACCACTTTAGATTTTACCCACAATAAGACAACACCAGTTCCATGACACCCTACAAACCCCTCTCTGTAGCACACAGCTTTGGGCTACAGAAGAGGCTTAGCACCTCCCCAGAGGTAAGATGTGAAGATGCTGGCAGAGGCACAAGATGGGGGAGGAGACAGGGGCGGGAGGGGAGGGTGGGGGAGCCACAGGGTTGCCAGGGGCAGAGAAGGAAGGGCACACTCACCCAGCCTGGATGGCAGCTTTCTTAGGACCCAGCACTGGTGGCAAGGAGCCCCCAGCTGGGGCCTTTCATCCTCCCGGCCTGCGTGGAGCCCTGGGAAGGGGAGGAGCATATCAGAGCTAGATGGGGAAGGCCTGGGGTTAGGGTCTGGGCTGAGAAAGGCTGGGACTGCAGCTCCCAGGACCAGGCCCCCGCCTCCAACGCTCTGCCAGCTGTGTGGCCGAATCCATGTTTAATGACTGTCCTCCCGGGAAACCCAGGGCCAAGGGCTTCCAGCTGACACCATCTCTACTCCGGTCTCCCCCCAGTGCAGCCCGAAGGCCCAGCTCCTCCCTCACCCCAACCTCAGCTGTCTCCAATCCCCCTGCCTGCCAGGGTAGGGATCTCACGGGTCAGGCCGCTGGCTGCCGGGATCCAGGCCGTTTCCTGGTGCAGGAGCTGGGAGGGAGGGAGAGTGGGAGGAAGGGAGGGAAGGAAGGAGGGAGGAGAAGCGGGGAGGGAGGGCCCGGCGCCTGGTGATGATGGGGCCCAGAGATGCGTCCAGAGAGAGGGGCGGGGCTGGGACGCTGGCTTGGGAAGGGCCACAATTCAGGCAGAGAGAGGGCTGCTGGTGGCCCAGAAGGGCTGGCTGAGAGGGCACTGAGGGCTGGGCTGGGCTCCTGACTCCGGAGGCTGCCCGGAGAAGCTGTCTGGGCGTCAGCAGACCTCGGAGCGAATTCAGCATTTACGGACGATCTCTGATGTTCCCTGTACTTGTTGAACTTCTCTGGCCCGGAAAAGCAGCAGTGCCCGTACCGGTGGGAACTGCCTGCTAGATGCCTCGCTCTGTGGAACTGGCACACACAACATGACACCAAACATTTCACTTCCTCTTTTCTTCCGGACCTTTAACCCAATGCTCTGTTGTAGGCTTTGTGGCTCCCTAGCCAGGACTTGGATCGCAAGCAATTTCTGCAGGTAACTTTTCATCTTCTTTCTTCTTTTTGTAAGCATATTGGTTTTCTTTTTCTTTTTACCGAACATACAAACTCATTTTCATTATGAAAAAGTCATAGAGGTATAGAGAAAAAAAAAATACAGGTTCTCAATTTCCCTCTTCCACTCTCACAGTTCTTCTCCCCTCCTGGAAGTTGCCAAAGTTAATGTTTATTCTCTCAGATTACATATACATGCATGCGTATGTATGTTTATTATTGTATATGGCAGAGCATTTATACAGGGCAGTTCACAGGCTGTGAAGCTGTTTGACCACAGCTGATCCACATTAGGGCATTCCTGGGCATTCTGATGGGCCCAGCTGCTTTTGCAGCTGGCACTTCCTTCAGCTCTATTTGGAGAGATCTCCATCCAAATGCCATAAAGAGGTAACCCAGTTCTCCTTTCCTGCCAGTTCCCTTGCTTCTATCTTCAGTCCAAGCCTTGGTATTACCATCTGCCCCTATGGTCACTGGACAAACAAGGTCTTCTCTGTAACAATCATAGTAACAACTAATACATCTTGAGAACTTTTTAGGTGCTAAGTGCTTTCTTTACATGCATGATATTTTATCCTCACACTAATCCTTATTCTGTTTTATCCTCATCCATCGGAGAGGTTAAGTTGCTCAAAGCCACATACTGAGAAGCTGGGATTCAACCTAATTCTGTCTCCAAAGCTTGTCATAACACCGTATTGTTTCACGGGCACTCTTCACTTCAGGCCATCAGTGTGTTACCATGCCCTTAACAAGCCCAAACTCAGTTCCCTCCTGCATTCTGAACACACAGCCCTTTCCACTCCTTTATGACTACTAGAGGCCAGTGCGTGAAATTCATGAATTGGGGGGAGGGGTGGCCCTCAGCCCAGCCTATGCCCTCTTGCAGTAGGGGAGCCCTTGGGGGGATGTCAAATTGCCGCAGAGGCAGGAGGCTCTAGCCACCACCAGCTGAGCGGTGCTCCCCCTGTGGGAGCGCACTGACTACCAGGGACCACCTCCTGCGCTCAGCATCTGCCCCCTGGTGGTCAGTGGGCATCATAGTGACCAGTTCATTTTCTCTGTTTGATTGATTTGCATGTTAGCCTTTTATTATATAGGATCCTTTCAACACTCTCACTTTTTCTTTGCTCTTGGGCTGATCTTTCCAGCTGCTAGTAGCCACGTTGTTTCCTTCTTCTGAGAATAACTTAATCTAGTCCTTCGTTTGCCATCCTGATTTCTTCTATGACATTTGCTTGAAATAAAACATTTTTAAGTCTCAGGATCCAAAAATATTTGTCTTCAACACATTTATAAGTTCTTTGAGAACAGGAACTGAATTGTATTCACTTTTATGTCCTCACAGCCTAACAGACCTTCAGTAAATGTGACTGAATAAATCACTCAATGTCTCTGGCCAGTTATGGAGCAGACCTAGTCAGACGTTTAAAGACAACTGCAGTGGCTATTTAAGACACAAAGGCTTATTTGGAATAAAGGTTCAGTGTCAGTCTGAGCAGCCAGTGTCAGTCTGGGAGCTGCTGGACCTACACAAATTATATTGGGTTCAAAGCTATGTATTTCAAGTATCTTCTCAGACTAATACCACAGAGCCAATGAATGACAGCTCAAACTGTAGACAGTGTAACAGAGCTTTTGCTAGAAAATCTCAGGCCATATAGGCTGATCTTGGACATTATTCTGTTAATGATATATTTCACCAGGGCAAGGAAGACAGTTGAAAACTGGTTGACTGCAAAACAAATTAGGGAAACATTATTTTACACCACCAAGATATTAAAAAAAAAAATGTGTCCATGGATTTCTATACATATGTATTAAATAAGAAAATAAATCTCAGTATCACTTTAAAAATTAGTCCGGCTAAATAGGATTGCTGTGGTTATTACAATAGCATGGCTGGAATTAAAATGCAAACAGGAATGAATTATACAATGTTAAGATAGTACGTATATGTCTCTGTTCATTTCCATCTTAGTCACTGGTAATTTAAAAAATATTATTTTATTGATTTTTTACAGAGAGGAAGGAAGAGGGATAGTTAGAAACATCTATCAGCTGCCTCCTTCACACTCTCTACTGGGTATGTGCCTGCAACCAAGGTACATGCCCTTGATGGGAATCAAACCTGGGACTCTTGAGTCCACAGGCCAATGCTCTATCCACTGAGCCAAACCAGTTAGGGCAGTCACTAGTGATTTTATAATTAAACTCTCCTGCTGTTTTAAATTTAGATATTCCATTTCTATTATGAGTCCCCATATTTCAGTACTCTGAAGATGTTAACTAAGACTATTAAATGTTTAAATCTTATATAACCAATTAGATAAGAAAGTGGACTTTGGGGCCAGACTGCTGAGATTCTAATCCCAGCTCCCCAATTATTATCTATGTAATCCTAGGCAAAAGTCCTAGCCCCTCTTTCCATTAATTTCCTCATCATAAAATATCTATAGTAATATTTCCTGCTCCTATGATGGCTGTACTATAGGATTTAATGTTTTTAAAATTCTTACAACCATACCTAGCATACTGTAAATGCTATATAACATCAGTAGGCAAGTTATAAAACAAAACCACATGCGTTTTTCACTAACAAAGAAAAAAATGAAGAAAAATGCCAGCTCTTTGCTTTTTGGAACTTCCCGTTGGAACTAGAATCCTACAGTCTCAGCTCCAAGAGCGTGGTGTGCTTATTCATTCAATAATTTGAGGACCTACTCTGTGGTGAAACTATAAATCAGATACAGCCTCTGTCATCGAAGGGCTTACAGTCCGGTTAGAGATCAGAACTTTAATCTACTTTTTGGAAGGATGATAACTCTTAAGTCCAGAGAAGTTGTGCCTTGCTCAAAGTCACGCAGCTAAATAGCACCAGAAATGAAACCAGAGCTGTCTTTCTACAACTCTCAGTTCAGAGCTCTTTCCAATGGACCACCTACTCTTATGAGCATGTCTCAGCTTCTATTTGGGGCTCTACCTAGTTTCATGAGCTTCCCTTCTTTGCACCCACCGCCAAACTGCTTCCAAACCTGAAGCCTAGGGTTTAGAGAAGAAAACGGTAAGCCCTTAAGAAAAAGCTGCGCGTTTTGGACCTCCACTGCAAGAAAAGGAAATGTTACTCTTTACATCCTGCAGTAACTCTTCCAGCTAGGTTGAGGCCATTAAAAAAAAAAAAAAAAAAAAAAAAGGCAAAGTGGTCTTTCTCAGGACCGAAAGGGCGGAGTCCCCGCCCCATGATGCAGCTTGGAGCAGCGGCAGTGAAGACAGATGGGGAGCCACCTGTCAGAGGACTGTGGGCGGGGGCCGGGGCCCGGAGGCCAGGAGACCGGAGGGTGTGTGCGACTGAGCGCAGGCTCAGAGCGGACGGCTTGCAGAAGAAGGGAGGTGACCGTCTAAAACCCTGGGAGCTGCCGGCCAGAGGCAAGGTAGTCACAGAACTGAGGCAGAATTACGGGAGGTAGAGGATCTGCAATGGGAGACGGCTAAAGTCGGCGGCTGCAGTCATCGGGAGGGAGGGTGACGCAGCGGCCCTGCGGGCGAGGGATGCTATGTCTCGCGAGCGGCCCCCCCGCACGGACATCCCCCGCAACCTGAGCTTCATCGCTTCACTGACGGAGCGAGCCTACTATCGCAGCCAGCGGCCCAGCCTGGAGGAGGAGCCGGAGGAGGAGCCAGGAGAGGGCGGGGCGCGCCTCGGGGCCCGATCCCGCGCTCCAGCTTCGAGTCGCGGCCGCAGGGCTCGCTCTGCTCCCGCCGGAGGCGGCGGGGCCCGGGCATCCCGGAGCCGCAGCCCAGACACCCGCAAGAGAGTGCGTTTCGCCGACGCGTTGGGGCTGGAGCTGGCCGCCGTGCGCCGCTTCCGCCCGGGAGAGCCGCCCCGGGTGCCGCACCACGTGCACGTCCAGCTGCAGAGGGACGCCCTCCGCCACTTCGCGCCGTGCCAGCCCCGCGCCCGCGGCCTGCAGGTAGGCTGGGGAGGCCCGCCTCTCCTCCGGGACCTCCCGGGCCCCGCCGTCCGCGAGGGGGCGCTTCCCTCTGGGCGGGGTGCTCTAGGCCACTTTGGCTGCTGGGCCGCTTTCTGGCCCGGCAGACCCGGGGTCGAGCTCGGATTGG